TTTGTCGCTTGCTCTTCCACCCCAGCCTTGTGATAAATAAGATATGACTCCTTGAGGGGTGATGCCGATTAAGTATTTAACAGTGTTGTTGTGTTTGTACGAAGACCATGTTGACGTTCGTGCTGCAAGATTGGACGGCCTTTCTAAAAATATTTCGAAGCAATCGATAATAACAGTTATCTGTTTGCCAAAGTGTGTCCTGAAACTCATGGGCATAGTTTCCCACAGCTGTTCCCGATCAGGCCAAAATATGAGTGGCTTCAGTCTGATATACATGATGTTAATAATGTTCAAAAATGTTTTAGATGCTGTAGACTTATGCACATTAAACCTCTGCCCAAGGTCCACATATGTACATGTAGGATTCAGTCGGAGTTTTATGAGGCACAACACTAGCTGCTGAAATTTTGTTAACTTGTTCAAACAGCTGCACACAATGAATGTTTCTAGGTACGTAAACAGAACATCCAAAATGGCAAAGCTTGACAATCCTGTGAAATGCTTCACATTTTCATCATTATCTTGGAAGAACTGCCGATCAAAATTATTGTTACTCTCAGCCAGCTGCTCTTTCAATTTTCGGTTTTCCTCTAACAATCGCTGTAATTCCGTTTGTGTGGAATTCATGGAGTTGCTATCCAAGTCAGTTTGGCAGGCCTCTTCGGAAGTGGACTGTTGTCGTTTGGGGGTCTTGGGAACTGAATGAAGCTGGAGAAGAGCCTCGGCGGCATCCAATTTGGACTTCTGTCCCTGCCTGTAGCAGCGTCTTTGGTACCTCTCCAAGTCTCGAGTGGCAGTCGCACCATCTATGTTGCTGTGACCAAGCTTGACAGTTGGTGCCCAGTCTGGATTGGTATTATCATACAATGCAGAGGGCTTTCCTACAGGGAATAAAATACAAAATAAGTTAACAAATTGTTCATTCAAATAACATTATAGTGGGTGGACCCCTATTGATCACAAAAAAAGGGTTGGTTCCATAATCCTTTGTTTTTTACTCCCAACTGCACATACGTAACAATGCGCCTTGTTTTTCTTTCGTGACCTTTGACAATGCATGTGCTACTACGTTCACACAAAGGCTTTTTGTGTGCATCTCATCTAGGCGCTTGCGTCAAGCAGGTCTGATATCGCGCACTCTGCATGTGTCCTGCACTGCTCCCTGTAGGATGCCATCTTGATGTTGATCACCGTTGTCAGGCATTGTGGGTATTGTCAAAGGTCACGACAGAAAAGCAATGTGAGCAGTTAGGGGTTACGTATGCGGTTACAAAAAGGGCTAATGTACAAGAAATTGGCAGAGAAAATGAGCGTTGATTTCCATATAATATCCATTATCCAAGCACTATCTCAGAATCTCAGAATGTTGACTGGACATCGCTGCTAGGCATCATCATCCAACTATGGATTTACAATCTTGTTAAAGTGCAGGCTTGATGAAAAAAAAAAAATTAGCGAGGAAAAATATTGGAAAGAATTCCATACCCAGCCACTTCCATGCACAAAACCTACACTTACGGGACATGCCAATGTTTCCTAAGAAAATCTGGCAAAAATCTGAGCGCGGTTTGCTCACAGTCACAGGTACACTTAAACTTTAAATTTGTGTCAAAATCCCCATCCTGGGGCATGAAAAACGTAACGAAAACCCCAAATAAGGGTCGGGATAGTGCAAGGAGGTGGAGAGGGCCAGGGGAACATTAAGTCCATGGAGTACCACAGAATAAAAGATTTTTCATAAATTTCAAAGAAAAACTTTAAATTTTCTCACTCCTGTAACTGTAGTGTAATATTAATAATATTATTAAAATAATCATTTTTAGGAAAGAATTCCATATACAGACTCCTCCTCAGACCTTCTGCACAAACTGTATGGGCCATGACAGAAAAAAAGTCAAGGTGTTTTCTGACAAAAAATCTTGATTCAGTTTTCCCTCCTAAATTTGCGTTTCTTCATCAGATTTACAACTTTGGGTACTTAATTTCAAGTCATATTTAGGAAAAATAAGAGGAGTCCGTATACGGAATTCCTTTCACTTAAATAACTCACCGCTTGTAAAATGGTCCGAGCAGACCCGTACATACGGCAAGTTGCTCTCTTTAATGTCTCGGGCGATTTGCGACAGCCATTTAGCGCGTCTGCTCTGGGAGAGTTCAAGAGTGGCAGCTCCTTCTCGGGTCAAAACGGCGGGCAGCCGAAAAAAAGATTTTTTGTCCCGATCCCCCCTGTTGCTGCAGCCAATAATTGCGCAAAAATTCACCATTTCTATGTCTTACACTGCTTGGAAACATAGAAAATGTCGAAACAGCAACCAACTGACAAAAGTGTGTATGCTGCGCTACGCTACCGTCACGTACGTACATGTACGTGGGTACGGGTACGGGTACTTGTGTGCGTTTTGTTGTTGTTATGTTGTAATCCAACATGGCCGACCAACAAAACAATGACGTCACCCTCGCGCCGGCACGACAGGTGTAGCGTGAATATCCGACTCCATGAAATGTGGACTCATTGGTAGTACTGCGCACGCGTGAGTACGATACTGCGCTATTTTTAGGATCATCTCGGGAGAGTGACCTGTCACGTGCGAGGGATCAACCAATAATAGGGAAATAGGGGTCGGATTTTTCATAGGAGTCGAATTTTCATGTGACACCGGCCCATACGCAAGATGGCCGGCGCGGCCCAATGGGGAAGGGAATTATGGGAAATAGTGTGGAAATAGCCGGGCCCCGTTCCGCAGCCCCCGCGGCCAACGGGCGCGGGCGGAACGGGAGACCGGTCGGGAAAATGGCAGCGCCCTCCAATCATTTTCGCGATTGTAGTATAGATTTACGTCACGTGACTAAAACGGGAGGTATTCCTCCATTTTCCGAAAATTTCCGAAGTTTGCCGAAGTCGTTTCGTCGACAATCGGATAGCGCCCGAGTATTTTCGAGTATATAATATAGGTTTAATTAGCCCGACTGCGTCTGGCCGTACAGTACTATCGCAAGCTCTGTAGTACGGCCAGACGCCCGATGCTTCCACAGAGACTGAATTTTTTGGGCCGCCGATGTAGCGATTTTGCTACATCTTTCGATCGCGATTATCTTTTCATCCAGGACACAAATTTCCAAAGTTAAGGTTTTTAGTCGTAGAGCAACTCATACCTTTTTGAAAAAACGTTCTTTGGTCTCAATATTTTCATCCATCTGGCCACAAGACGAATTTCAGTCATCAGATTCCACAAATATCGTCCCCCATGTGATCCCCCATGCGATTTCAAAATGGCGGCCGCGCTGTAATGTATGCATTATGCGAGCGCGCTTGGGCAAGATAATGAATATGCATCACAGTTTATGACGTTTGTCGGACACTCAGCGCGGCTGGCCATACAAACACGAGGTCATGAACTAAATAATGCATATTCATTATCTTGCCCAAGCGCGCTCGCATACTATGCATACATTACAGCGCGGCCGCCATTTTGAAATCGCATGGGGGATCGCATGGGGGACGATATTTGTGGAATCTGATGACTGAAATTCGTCTTGTGGCCAGATGGATGAAAATATTGAGACCAAAGAACGTTTTTTTCGAAAAGGTATGAGTTGCTCTACGACTACGAACCTTAACTTTGGAAATTTGTGTCCTGGATGAAAAGATAATCGCGATCGAAAGATGTAGCAAAATCGCTACATCGGCGGCCCAAAAAATTCAGTCTCTGTGGAAGCATCGGGCGTCTGGCCGTACTACAGAGCTTGCGATAGTACTGTACGGCCAGACGCAGTCGGGCTAAGGTTTAATTAACTGCTAATTGCTTATTAATTTTATTTTTAATGAGTTGATTATTTATATTCATTGTTTTCATTTAGAAAACTTGAAATTCAACGACGATTTTGTGCATCAAATATACTCGGATCGTACGGGCGAACCTTTCGCTGCGTCATGTACAATTTTGAATTCGACGACCGTTACCGAGATTTTCCAAAACTCGGTCTTCATTCGGCTCCGCCTGCTAACAGTGCTATTTGGTTCCGTACTTTTGAAGATTCCTGATCAACATTACTCAATGTTATCTTACAAAAACATCAAACTGTATTATCATAACTGTATGATATTACGAAGCAAGTGATTTATTTAAAGATTTGATCAGAACATTAAAAGCTACAAGTGATAAAGCGAATCGGAAACGAAGCCGCGCTTTGAAAAAGGGCCATTAATGTCGTCATGTTTATTTTAGACGTGAGCGTCGGGAATAATTGTCAGGTCTGGGAACCAGACTAGGTGGTCATGTTGCGCCCCAACTATCGCATCGGTCCCAACTATAGTTGGGACTGTCCCAACTATAGTGCGGCAGTTGGGTCGGCCTAACTATCGTTAGGACTGGAGTTACGCCGGCTGCTTCATGCTTGATAGATCTTGTTGGGCTGTTTCGCGGCGCTGGCACCGTGTATCATCGTCGTGCATGCATGCCGCAAGGCTGGCCGGTCACGTGGTACTGCCTAGTTGGATGAGTTGTCCAGCTGCTGGGTTTTATTGTCCAGCAACATTTTGCAAAATTCAAAGATTGCCATGGCATGCATGGCCGACCAACTAAAGATGGGCCCCACCCATAGCTAATGTCAAAGGTCCCAAGTAAAGTCGGACACGAACAGAGCTGTAGGGAATGTTTTATAATCGTACAACAATGTACACTATAGTTGGGACCGCAAAATAAAAAGATTGCGGTGGCCCAACTATAGATTCGCCCCATCAATAGCTAATTTCAGTGGTCCCCAGTAAAGTCAGACGTGTATCAGAGCTGTAGGAAACGTTCTATAGTTGTACATCAATGTAAACTATAGTTGGGACAACGCAAAATTAAAAGATCGGAGTGGCCCAACAGTGGACTTACAGTTGGGACCGTCCCAACTATAGTTGGGCCAGCCCAACTGTGCAACTACAGTTGGGACAGGCCCAACTATAGTTGGGACCGATGCGATAGCTAGGTAGTTGTGGCGTAATGAGTTTTCATGACATGCAATTTTTGCACGATGATGAAGGGAACACTGTCATGTTCCGAATAAACAGCTAGCTGAAGAATGCATAGGTAAGAAGACTAAGAGAAATGAAACGTGAATAGGAAAGAATATCCAAACGTCACTTCTTTGGTTGGGTTGCCAAATAAGAGACCTTCAAGTTCAAGGCTTTTTGGGGAATGCGAAATCGTTCAAGTCAAGTGTCACTCACCCCAAGTCTGTTCCGATGTGCGTGTCCTGTCCATCTGTTCTCCCGCACGGCGTCTGGCCGGAGAAGTTTCCTTGACTACCACGAGACGAAACCGATCCTAGTCCCGCGAATATATATTTACAAATGTTCACAAGGTTACCGACGGACGGACAAAGACGACGAGAATTAAATAACTAGTATAGTCGGACTCCCTATTATCGCGGCATCCCTATTATCGCGGCATGGGATTGGGAAATTTCTCTTTTTACAGTGTCAAAACTCCTTCAAGTGGCGATTTTTATCCAGTTCACCAGTCATCAAGGATTTTCTACCGTGATGTATAAAAAGGACGATTAAAAAATGTTGTGTCTTTCGGGACATTTAACGATTAACTGAGTGGAGCGTTGAATTACGGGTACCCCTCCATACAAACGCTCCACCGATTTGCCATACTTTGGTAGCACTTACACGGTCGTCATGACGGTATGCATTTTGTGCATGCCCTCGCGAGGACAAGGCCCAAAAAAACTGATAAAGAAAATACAAATGAGGAAGACAGTAACCCTGGATAGATCCACACATTCATGACATTCCATAAGACCCCTCAAATTGTTTCAAACAACCGGTAATTTTGAAAAAAGAACAAAATAGTCTGAACTTACCGCTCACAATTAAATGTGTCTGCCGAGTTGCACAGTCTATTTCACTGACATGACTGATGCATAATTCATTGCGCGCGTGTGTGACGTCACTATTGAAGAAAAACAAGTCGCGCTTAATCAATGACTGTTTCATGTACTGATATGTGCCCCGCACCAAAAACCCACAGTCAGACGGCGCGGGGCACATATGACTACATGAAACAGCTATTGAGTAAGCGCAACTTGTTTTTCTTCAATAGTGACGTCACACACGCGCGCAATGAATTATGCATCAGTCATGTCAGTGAAATAGACTGTGCAACTCGGCAGACACATTTAATTGTGAGCGGTAAGTTCAGACTATTTTGTTCTTTTTTCAAAATTACCGGTTGTTTGAAACAATTTGAGGGGTCATATGGAATGTCATGAATGTGTGGATCTATCCAGGGTTACTGTCTTTCTCATTTGTATTTTCTTTATCAGTTTTTTTGGGCCTTGTCCTCGCGAGGGCATGCACAAAATGCATACCGTCATGACGACCGTGTAAGTGCTACCAAAGTATGGCAAATCGGTGGAGCGTTTGTATGGAGGGGTACCCGTAATTCAACGCTCCACTCAGTAGAGCTAGTGAACACTGAAACGCGTATTATGTACAGGTAGGCCTACCAGCGCGCGACAGGCGCGCAAAAGTGCTGACCATTGCTGGCAGGTCAAAGTATGTCGAAATGCTGACAAAGGTCAGAGTTCACGCGGGGTGGTCGCCACAGCTTCATGTCAAACATGAAATGTGGCCAATTTACTGGACTTCCTCCGTAAACATAGGCCACAAGTCCACATGTACAAAAACAAGGCGAACTTTGTAAAATTTTGATTTTTACATTTAGGCCTAATTTGTAGTAATTTGTAGGTTTTTTATTCTTTAGAAGCATAGGCCTACTCACCCTCTTTAAAGGCTAATCAGAAAGTGCTGCCTTTTTTAGATGTCTATTTTCAGTGAAATTTCAAGATCTCACAATCTTAGAAAGTTGACTGGATATCGCCGCTAGGCATCATCATCCAGTTTGACTTCACGCCGGTGCCGTGCTAGACCCGTGAACGTGGCGTTGTATACAACGCCACGTGCTTCCATCGGGTAAATGCTAGCGACAGCATTCTATCTTTTGATCCGCTACATATAACCATGTATAATTTCGCCAATATGTGAATCACTTACTTGTTGGGCCTCCTGTGAATTTCCGCGAGTGTTGGATCTGTCATTGCCAAGAAATTTGATGTAAAGTACGGCACAACTTTGTCACAACGAATGTTTTCAAAATGATCAGGAAATCAAAGACAGGCATGACACTCTGGTACCCCGAGTTCCGCATGCGCAAAACGGAAGAAGTATCACCAGTGGGTACCCGACTAACCGTCTTACATGGCAGGATGACCGTTATACCATGTAAAATTCTGCTAAATCCACTTCGAAAGTCTGCCAAATCACCCAGTATATATTGCTGTTCCATTGTGCAAGGGTTTGTTTTAAGGATTTTTCAAAAAAAGAAGGTTTTTCAAACCAAATGTGCCATATTTCTTTCCAATCTTTTTTATTTTCCTTCATCTTCATAGTACTGCCGAAAAAATATTCTGCTGATTTTCTGTACAACTCATTTTTGTATGCAAATATTCTGTCAAATGTAGCCAAAATTCGGCTAGAACGGTCACTCCATTTTAGTAACCGCGGATCACAATAGAGTGTTTTTACTATAGACTGAAGCGTGGCTATGTATATAGCCACGTTCACGGGTCTAGTGCCGTGCAAGCGTGAAAGATTCGTTTTCCCACGTTTTCGTTTAAAAATTTCGACATAAAACTTCACGAAAATTAGACATCTGAAAAAGGCAGCACTTTCTGATTAATAATAATAGCCTATACAGAGGGTGAGTATGCTTCTAAAGCAAAAAAACCTACAAATTAGGCCTAAATGTGAAAATCAAAATTTGACAAAGTTTGTCTTGTTTTTGTACATGTGGATGTGTGGCCTATGTTTACAGAGGTAGTCCAGTAAATTGGCCATATTGATGGGGCTAGACATTGACAAACTTGGATGGCCAGGTGAAGATCAATCTACCTACGTCATGATCCTGATGATTAACGTAGGCCCTATGTCATGTATGTACTTTTATGATGCCACTTTGATGTACAATTGTACATACATGTACATGTAGCTTGAGTATAAACTCCAGCTGACAAGTGACATACTCATATTCATTCACATACATAACCTAGTGTGAGACCATGGAGAGAGTTAGCCTCAAATGTGGCCAATTTACTGGACTACCTCCGTAAACATAGGCCACACGTCCAGTACAAAAACGTGTCGAACTTTGATTTTCACATTTAGGCTTATTTTGTAGGGTTTTTTTGCTTCAGAAGCATACTCACCCTCTTTATAGGCTAAGCAGAAAGTACTGCCGTTTTCAGATGTCTATTTTTCGTGAAATTTCCAGATTCATTTGCACACGTTTGCGTATCAAAATTTCTAAATGAAATTTCACAAAAATTTGACATATGAAAAAGGCAGCACATTCTGGTTAGCCTATAGGGCCTAAAGAGGGTGAGTATGCTTCTAAATAAAAAAAAAAAGAACTACAAAATAAGCCTAAAATGTGAAAATCAAAAATTGATAAAGTTCGCCAAGTTTTTGTACATCCGTGTGGCCTATGTTGACGGAGGTAGTCCAGTAAATTGGCCACATTTATGGGGCATGGAGCAATGTGTTTTATTGCTCCATGGTGTGAGAGACTCTATCTAAAAAGGGCCTCCACAAAATGGTCCATTTTCACCTCTATTATAAAGCTAATCCAACCCCAGATTCCATGGACATACCTCATATACCTTACACCATTCAGCAGTCATTCCACAAAGGTAATGATCGACTTGAAACAGTATGGAAGACGGATAGTGCCACTCAACATGCTCAATGAGTGTGAATATATTTTTTTGGTGCGTGTGAAAATATTTTTTGGTACAGCAGCCGCCACTTAATATGTGGCAGCCGCCAGATTATAAGTGGCGGCCGCCACATAAGTCATCATAATAAGTGGCGGCCGCTGTACAAAAAAAATGTTCACACGTTCAAAAAAATATATTCACACTTTTTTATGTGGCGGCCACCACTTATTATGATGACTTATGTGGTGGCCGCCAGATAATAAGTGGCGGCAGCCACATAAGTCATCATTATAAGTGGCGGTCGCTGTATAAAAAAGATATTTTCACACTTTTTTTAAGTGGGGCCCCACCCATTGTGATGACTTATATGGCGGCCGCCACATAATAAGTGGTGGCCGCTGTACAAAAAATATTTTCACACGCACCAAAAAAATATATTCACACTCATTGAGTGGCACTATCCTTCTTCCATAAAAACAAAACCAAAAGAACAACACTAAAATTTGAAAAGTTTTGACGATTTCGGCAGCTTGTCCACGTCCAGTTGCAACGGCTGTCGTCCATCTTGTTTAGTTAATTATGCAAATGAATGCATCGCGTGATGATTTATTGGAAAAAAATTGCGCGATGTATGTGGGTACCACACCGCTTCAAGTGCCGCTAGTGGGTTCAATTTTCGTCTGGTGCGTTGTCTTGCTTTCTACGACTGCTTTTCACAACAACACACCGTCAGTTTTTAAACTCAACCTCAAGCAACATATTTTAAATTAATCCGGTTTTTAATCAGTTCTGAGGGGACGGTGTGATATGGAAGCAGTTTATACATAACATTTTTAGTACTCATCATGTGTAACTGTTTTGTTGACGTGGTTTTTGGTTTGGTTTACATACACTGGGTGGGACTTTATGCAAATTTTTGAGGAATGACATGGCATTTATTTTACAGTCTCATTTTTATGCCCCGCCAGCGAAGCCGAAGGGGCATACTGTTTCTGCCTTGTCCGTCCGTCCGTGTGTGTGTGGGCTCTTGTATTGTATTACGCTCCAAGACAGACAACAAAAGGAGCACAAAGGGACCTTTGATCCTCGGAGGACGGTGCCTACTGTTAAAACCGGTCCTCTATCGTACGGTTATGTGCTTAGTCCATGCCAATGGGAAAGTGTTATATTAGAGGGACAAAGGGACACACAATAGGTTGTCCTCAGGCGTATAGTAAAACATGTGTGTGCGTGCGTGTGCCTTTGGTTCCACAGCAATATCTGGATAATTGTATGTCCATGTATACCTTGATACAATGAAGGTAGC